TGGCTAGGAGGTATAAATTGAGAGTAGAACGACTGAGCTTCTTCACATTTTTTTTTTCCCTGAAAGAGCGGAGGAGACAAACTGAGGTATATAAGAGGAAATGAGGTAAATGAAGTTGTCTGTCTTGGACTGGAAATTTTCAGAAGGCAGAGATCAAGTAATAATAATAATAGCTAACATTACATAGAACATTAAGGTTTGCAAAACACTTTGTATATGTTATCTCACTTGATCCCTGTGAGGTAGGGACCATTTTTATTCCCATTTTATAGATAGAGAAACTGAGGGTGGGTAAGGTTAAAGTGACTTCCCCTGGGTCACACAGCTAATAAATGTCTGCCTGAAGCAGGATTTGAACTCAGGTCCTTCTTCCCTACAAGTACAGCATTCTGTCCACTGTGCTATCCAGCTGCCTCTTCACGTCTATTAGTGCTCCCCAAAACTTGAACAATTATAATAATTATAGAATTTTTGAGCTGGAAAGAATCTAAGGGTTCACCTATTATAGAGATCTCAAAACAAGCAACTTCCCAAGTTATAGCATCATAGATTTAAAATTGGAAGGGACCTTAAATCAAGCAATCAATCAACAAGTTTTACTAAGCTTGTACCACATGTCAGGCACCTGCTAGACACAACAGATACAAATATTCTGCTCTCAAGAAGCTTAAAGTTTACTGGGAGAACCAAATGTGTTTTCAAATGAGTAAATATGAGGTCTTTACAGGCATTCATCATTTTATTGCACTTTCCAGATACTGATTTTTTTTTTTTACCAATTGAAGGTTTATGGCAACCCTGCATTGAGCAAATCTATCTATCGGTGCCATTTTTCCAATAGCATGTGGTCACATGGTGTCTCTGTACTATATTTTGGTCATTCTTGCAATATTTCAAACTTTTTCATTATTATTATTATGCCTATTATGGTGATCTGGGATCAGTGATCTTTGATGTTACTACTGTAATTGTTTTGGGCTGCCATGAACCCCACCCATATAAGACCATAAACTTAATTGATAAGCATTGTGTGTGTTCTGACTGTTCCACTAACGGACCATTCCCCCATCTCTCCCTCTTTCTTTGGGGCTCCCCTATTCCCTGAGACATAAAAATGTTGAGATTAAGCTAATTAATAACCCTACAATAGTCTCTAATTGTTCAAGTGAAAGGAAGACTCAATTGTTGGGGCAAACTTCATTATTGTCTTATTTTAAGAAATTTTCAGGGACAGCGAGGTGGCACAGTGGATAGAGCACCAGCCCTGGAGTCAGGAGGACCCGAGTTCAAATTCAGCCTCCAACACATAATACTTCCTAGCTGTGTGACTCTGGGGGAGTCACTTAACCCCAATTGCCTCACTAAAAAAAACCCATGACAAAAAACAAACAAACAAAAAAGAAATTTTCACAGCCATCCCAACCTTCAGCAAGCACTACCCAATCAGTCAGCAGCCATCAACATTGAGGCAAGACCTTCCACCAGCAAAAGTATTATGACTTGATGAAGGCTCAGATGATGGTAAGCATTTTTTTTAGCAATAAAGTATTTTTTAATTAAGGTATATACATTGTTTTTAGATATAATACAATTGCACACTTAATAGACTACAGTATAGTGTAAACTTAACTTTTATATGCACTGAAAAAGCAAAAAATTCCTGTGACTTGCTTTATTGTGATATTTGCTTTATTGTGATAGTCTAGTATTGAACCTATGATGTCTCCAAGGAAAGCCTGTATGAAAGAAATAAAAAAGGAATGACACAAAGATAATAACACCCAGAGGAACTGAGAAAGGATTTTTGAAGGAGGTGATACTTGAGCTGAGCCTTGAAGGGAATTAGGGATTTCCAGAGACAGAGGTGAGGAAGAAGGAGCATTCCAGGTAAGGGGGAAATCCTGGCAAAGGCATATAGATGAGAGATGGAACATTGTGTTTCAAGTAGGCTAGTTTGGCTAAAAGGAAGAATGTGGGAGGGGGTCGAGAGTGAAAGATAGAGTGGAAGGCATCTGTGTTCAGTTTTAGAGTCTCTAGGGAGCCACTGCAGGTTCTTGAGAAGAATGGTATGGTCTTCTAAAGATAGGAAATAGACAAGAGAACATCTGAACAATCTGGACCAGTAAATGAAACTAGAACACCACCCCTGAGATCAGCTTCCCAGGAGGGAAAGGAAGAGTGAGAATCCCCTCCCACAAAGAGATCCTCAGCAGACCTGCTGCTTCTCTTCTAGTCACTACAGGACACATGGGCTTCCATGCAATTTGGAGAAAGTCAATAAACAGAATTTTTGAATTAATCCTCATGATCCAGGAGTTTCTGCTGAAGATTTGGCCATAAAGTATTCTTTATTTAGCAGATGCTTAGCCAAGGCATCTGGGTTCTGTTATATGCATCTGCTGTCTCAGAAAGAGAGCTAACAAAAATCAAAAACTGTATTCTAGTATCAGGTGTGCCACTTACTAGATTTGTGCATATCCCTTCATTTCTCTGGGCCTTAGTTTCCCTAACTGTAAATGGGGATAAAAATGTCTGTCCTGCCTAACATAAAGAGCAGTTATGAGTATCTATGGAGAAAATAGAAGTGAAGGTGCTTTGCTTTTCTCACTAATTTTTTTTGCTTTGGTAAATAGTTATTTTTCATTTTAAATATGTGATTTATATTATGTATTAGGTTTATTATTTTTAAAGGATTAATAAATATATTTTAAATTTTTATCAGTTTTAATTTCTAATATGGTAAATATTGATAGATGGAACCCATATAAACAAACACTCTTTGAGAAGTGCTCAATCCTTTTTAAAAGCGTAAATAGTCCTGACATCAAAGGGTTTGATAACCACTGCTCCACACCATGGTGATCAGGCCACATTAACACAGGTATGGAGCCCAAAACTAGAAACCTCATAGTCCTGTGTCCGATGCATGCATCCATCCCCCAGTTATGCCATGCCTGGATTATTGTGTTCACTTTGGTTCCCATCTTACAGGAAGGACATCGATGAACTGGAGCCCATTAAGAGAAGGCCAAACAGAATGTTTGGGGATTGGAGACTGTACCAGATCAGGATCGTTTAACAAGTGCTTACTCAGCCTATGGGTTGTTGTTATTGTTGCTCGTCCTTCATTGCCAAAGAGGACCATGACATCAGGAAGTCTTAGAGGGACATGTTAGCAGCCCTCAGACACTTGATGGACTGACTTGTGGACAAAAGATGAGCCTTGTTCAGCTTGGCCCCAAAGGGCAGAACCAGCAGCAGTGGGTAGAAGTTGTAGGAAGGTTGATTTGGGCTCAATGAAGGAAAAACGTCCTCCTGATGAAAACTGTCCACATGTGGACCTGGCTCCTTCCAAAGACGGTGAGCTCCCTCCAGGGGTGACCAGAGAACCAATGACTAAACTTTACACTTTGAAAATAGGCAAAAGCTACAAATTAGGGCTTGGTTTATTGTTTTGTTGATTGTCTTGACTTTAAAAAGTGATGGGGAAAATGCCAATAATGCAAATTAAACTTAAAGTGTCTCAGATGTACATTTTTTTGGAGAAGGGGCTGGTTGCTAAACATTTAACAGCACCCTGCTGGTTCCCTCTTCCCTAACTAATTTATATATTCAATGCCCTACCTTATGTCTTCAAAAAGAAGCTAGATGGTCCCTCATTAGCAATATTGAGGGGGAGGGGTTCCTGTTGACAGAATCTGAATTGGAAGCAACATGAGCCAGACCAACCGACCCATACAGATATATTCTGATGTTCCTTCCGACTCCAGTTTGTATGATTTCCCAAA